CAAAAGCAAATATTGTTAAGAATAAATAATGATCTATAAAGAGGGCCCGCGAAGACTGGGGCCCCCCTAATAGTTATATATATATATAATATGGCCAGTCCGATCCTGCGTCGATCCGTTCTGTAAATACGGGGTATCCGTAAAGGGCAAGGGGAAAAACCAAATTCTCTATATACGAGCAATTCATCGGCGTGCTATAAATAGTTTAAATAACATTAATTAGTTGTACAAGAATTTCCATAATACCTAATCAGTTTTATTTTTTTCAATGTTTTTCCACGTAAATGATACATAATTTTTATAAAAATTAAAAAAATAAGGAGAAAAGTATTAGGACAAGCATGGAAGGATTCTACCATATCTTCTAAGAATTATAAGTTTAATTTTTAAATTACTTTTATATTCATTAAGTCCAAAATGCTGCTACTTCAGTTCTATAAAAATCCATTAAAAATTTATTCGTTTTTGGACTTGTATGTTTTGCTTCTAGACCGACGATATTCTAAATATATGGTTATGAGTATCATGTCTTTTAAATTTAATTCATTATTTTTAAATTTGTTTGGGTAATATTCAATTCCATTTTCAAAATTTCAAACTATAAAGGTTGCTATCTCCAGAAGTATATTTTTATTTCTTATTTTTGCAAGACGAATATCTGTGTCTCCCTATTGTGTCTGAAAAAAATTATGTAACACAAAATATTGAATTTTATTGTTCCCCAGCAAATAAAATTCTTATCTCTTTCTTATAATAATAATAGCTCCCGTATATAGCGTTTGACGCCTTGGGAGTAGCAAGGTACAGCTTGCTATACTAGAGCCGTTCGGTATACAAGGAAGGTAATGTGGCTAGCACTACGCTTCAACCGCCTATTATTACCTCAGGATTGTGAAACCCAAGTACTCATTTAAGGCTGAGTCGACCTAGGTTCCCAACCTATTTTTATTTTAATAAAAATAGTAGGCTGATGAAATGCCGGGTGTGGGAATCGAACCCACACCTTGAGATTGGTAGACGAAAGCCTGTACCTCTACCCCACCGGGCACATTCTTATCTCTTTCTTAATTCTCTTAATTCTCTTTCTCTAATTCTTTATCATATTAACGCATGAAAATACTTCCTACACGTGTACATATTTTTTAATACCGTTTTTTTTGCTCTCCTGTAAAATTAGGAATAATGGATTTAGCAGTTTATCACATTTCACCGACGATATGCTGGAAATAACCAAGAAAGACTGTACAATAATAGAGTGGATACCAAGACCTAGGTAATAGATGTCATCCACAAAATCATATTCCTCAAGTGCCAATGGGCAGGACACCTGGCAAGAAGGACGGACAAAATATGGTCCCAATTACAAATAAGCTATCTAAATATGCGAGGGACCACACCAAAATTGTAATTTGTTAAATAAGCTGAAAATGATGATGATGATGAAGTACCAATCTCATTAATCTTAAAATTCTCTAACAATGTATTGCCAAATTTTTCATTTATTGTAAATCTCTCCGCTTCAAATTTAATACTTTCAGTATCATATATAATCTTGGTTATATCATATATTTCCATTCAAAATACATGCACCATACACAATATTTTATTGTACTTTATTCGAAATTATCTCTTCCCTAACTGCACACTCGACATTTATGTAAAAGTCAGACCGACACAAAATCCGATAGAAAATTGTGCGATGTCATACTCGTACGTTTACCTTTTTACAGTCGTCCTCATCGTAAAGTTATCCTTTTTATTTGCGCCCTGTTCCGTGACATTTTTCCGTCGGTGGAAAAGGTGGCGCTGGCTTCGTAGCCGCCGCGCCGCTTTCCTGATTATGTTTGACAGAGAGTGAGCGCGCTAAGTGTGCGTTTAGCTTGTTATTGCAAAGCAATTTGAATCTAAGTTTAATAATAATACCACAGTATGTGTTTTTTAAAGAGGAATGATCGGTATTGTACTAATAAAGCGTTGTAAACCCGCAATGTGCACATACTGCAACAAAACCCGCCTTATCCAAATTATTTTTGTGTTTGTTCTCTTTACTTATTACAGTTGGGAGTTGGAACCCTAGATTATATATACTAAAGGTAAAGGTCAGAACACATTTTATGTCGGTGTGACAGCCTGGCAAATGTGCGGTTCCCGGTAATAGGCAATGATAGGCCATTGCCAAGGAGCTACATGGAGGGTTCAGTTTCCAAGTTGCTAAACTTTGTGAAAAGGATAGTACTGGAGAATGTAATCTAAGGATCAGAAGAGGACCACAATAGATCTGAGAAGGTCGCAGTGGATCAGGCCGAAAGCCACCTCTAAAAATCTAATCTAATCTAATCTAATATACTAAAGGTCGGCATTTCTGGTCTTGGGTGTCGATTTTCGTGTGTACCATGAGTACGGTCAACGCGCTTAGTAAAATAAAATGTACTGAATAAAGACAGAAGGCAAGTATTTTTCCAAGCGCATGGAATCTAACGTCAAATTAAGTGTAATGCAAATTAATAGTCATCATATTAGCATAATTTTATTTCCATTGTATAACGACTCTTGTTTTTCGCGTTTTTTATTTTAAAAATTGTATTAATTACTCTTTTACATCCCATTAATTACCCATTACATCCTAGACCCGGCATTTCATCAGCCATAAAAATAAAAATAGTTTAGGTACCTAGGTCGGCTCAGCCTTAAATGAGTACTTGGGATTCACAATCCTGAGGTAATAATAAGCGGTTGAGGCGTAGTGCTAGCCACATTACCTTTCATTCTATACCAAACGGCTCTAGCATGGCAAGCTGTACCTTGCTACTCCCAAGATGTTAAACGCTATATACGGGAGCTATTATTATTATTATTATATTAATTACTCTTTTATCGATCGCTTTTATATAGCTAAGGATGCAAGTGTGTTCAGTGAGAAGTTAATTTTAAGTTTGTGCAATTATATTTCTATTTTTTGTGTTTGGTGTGTGGAACTTCTAATATAAAGGTCCCCAATTATCTTTCCATAGGCTAGTAAATTATTCAGTTGTTCTTTTATTTATATTAAATTACACGCATACTTTCTGGTTAGATTTGTTAAGAATATTAATATTCGTTCGGAGTGGCTAAATATATTTTTTATTTAATTGCTAAAACAGTTTTTACATATTATCACATAACCACGTTTTTGGGATAAGACAGGTTTTAAAACTTCACACCTCTATGCTCTCAAAATTTTATTTCAATACAAACTGTCGTTCTCCTTGAAGCGCTTGAACCAATTTATTCCATTAAAAATAAATATATAATTTTTTTGCCCAATATATTAAAGAATGATGCTCATCTTATTGTTCATTTAAGCTGATATTAAAATAAATTGTTTTTGAGTATTTTAAGTGTAGCAGAATTTTTAATAAACTTCGGAATGGCAAATATTTTAATATCTGCTGACATTATGAACAAATGCTTTTTTCTAATTCATTGGGGGTGGATTTTTAATATATTCCTCTAATATTAATAAAAGTAATACACAAAATAAGAATATATTTACATAAGAATTTTCGTTATTACTTTCTTATTCCTAAAATAGATTTTGATTTTTTTTTATCTAGTACTTATTTCTTTGTGAATGGTAGCTGATTGATTGTGGAAAATGTAATTAAATTATTAAATGTATAATAATAATATCTTTCTCTCTTAACATTCTAATTTTGCAGTTAAAATATACTTTTTATTTATCATATTTTATATAATATTACCGATGATTGAAGAAATAAGAAAATACGCAACCGTATGGGCGATTTCGCGGCACAAAACTTGTCCAAGATTAGTTTAGCTCTGCGCCGCGCCGCTGCGCGCCGATAGTCGCTTGCAGCAAACATGATAAAGAATACTCTACTGTAATTCTACTTTCAGTCGACAGAGTGGGTGGTTACCGGAGACAGTATTGCCAAAACTACTGATTAATCCGTAGATTTAGGGATTTTGGGTACAGTACGTTAATAATACGGATTTTCTATCATTAAACAATTTAATATGATATTATATTTTAAAGAATGTATCCATTTTTCTCAAAGAGACCTGGTTCAAATTAAAAAAGTAGAAAAAAGACTCAAAGTCTCGGTCTCAACCTTTATACAATATTAAACTGTTACACGTGTTTCGCTCATATACGAGCATCATCAGACCTAACAAGAAAGAACCTAAATAAATAACAAATAATAAAAAGGTCATCATAACTTACTTAATTGTATTTGTACTTAATTGTATTTTTAAGTTATGATAACCTTTTTATTATTTGTTATTTATTTAGGTTCTTTCTTGTTAGGTCTGATGATGCTCGTATATGAGCGAAACACGTGTAACAGTTTAACATTGTATAAACGTTGAGACCGAGACTTTGAGTCTTTTTTCTACTTTTTTAATGATATTATATGACTAAACAAAGAACGGTGTCAGAGTTGGCTTGGAAATGAAGATCGCAGTTATTTCATATAAAAAATATTATGGTAAATGTCAATAGTCGTCATCTCCAAGCCAACTAAACGAAATTTTTCAATCATACCAAATATTCAGTACCTATAAAACAATTTTTATTTTTGTTGTTTATTCTATGTTTAACACGAATAAATTTTCAATACATAAACGCGTATTTTTCATCCAAAAATATTTTCGTCAGACATATTACAGATATTACACATTTTAATATGGCAACACTTCCGCTTTCACTTCCACACTGTCTTCGATATGCCTTCACTAGCCGAATTAGAGGAAATTAGTGTTTTTATGGGTTGGTTGCAGGAGAGGATCCACTATACAGCACTTGAGACAGTGAGAAAAAATCTAACCAGCCTTATCACGAATTTGCCAATTAAATTGCGTATCTTCATAATTCTTTCAATCAACGATATTATTATTAGAGAAAATAATGCTTACTGTTACTTAAAGCAAATTAAAATGTTATTTATAAACATTGAAATAAGTACAAAAAATAGAGTGTTACAATTTAATAAACTTACATAAAACATTGATGTTTATATGTCTGACATCAGGCTCTCCCACACCATTATCAGCAGAACACTGATACTGTCCCGCAGAGTGTCTGTCAGCATGTTGAATGACCATGGTCAAGCCTTGGATGCTTCGTTCTCCGCTGGGCATGACGTTATTCTTTCTTGTCCAAGAAACAGCCGGCACCGGATTACCGGAAGCCTTACACTCCATTTTGACCATTTGCCCTTGAGTTACTTCCACTGTACCAGTGTGAGAGACAAAGTGAATCCTAGCAGGTACTGTAAAGAATGAAAAAAGGTTAAATTTCCTGCTTATGAAATAATTAAAATCATTCAAGAATAACGTTTTAGAACATGCAATACATTAGTAGTTATTTTTTATACAAGACGATAAAATGGTATACGTGAATGCATAAACGATAAAAGACCATTTGCAATACCGACGATAATGCAATTTTATCGTCGTGTATAAAACAATATTTTTTCCATAGCAAGTTACGTTTTAAAAATTATTCAGAAATTATTATTTCAAGGAATTTATTACGAGTAGAAAAAATATTATGCTGGATTGGCCTTGGTTTCTATATAATTTGACAAATAAATAAAGCTGTCTCTTTAGTTGTCAGTTTTGAGTCAATATTTTTTAATTCTCTTTCGTGTCGATTGCTGATTTAATTGGACCCAGAAATGGCTCAAAAAAATAAGTAAATTACCAACAGATATTCAGGCTGAGGCGACAAACGCCATACCCAAGCTACTTTCATTTAAATCCAGAATAACTTATGAAAAGGAATACAACATTTTTCAAAAATGGAAGCAATTAATAAACCTGCGAGAGGAAATAAAGTTTTTAACCTATCCTCGCTGTTAAAGTATCATTTAATCTACCCTTGCGGTTAAAGTACTATTTTACCTACTATTTTTGATAGATATAAGACAATTTTAACAGTTGCTATAAAAAAATTCATTACAACTGTCTTCATATTTTTATCTTCTATAAGTCTATTAAGAATTTGATTAACTCACCCAAGACTTCCAGAGTATGTACGATTTCTTTGGGTTCAATAGTGCCAAGTTGACATATATAATCGCCAGCATCTTGAGGTCTGACATCTCTTAGTTCCAAACTATATCCTCCTCCTGAAAGTTCTGGAACACTTCCAATCCTTGAAGCTGCAGGTAAAATAAATAAAAAAATATAATCAATATTTAATCTTTTTTTTTAATATTTTTAGGTAATTTTCAAGTCTAAAGCTGTATTTATAACTTCGAAATTAGTGGAATACGTGGTTTCAATTAGCGTAGAAGTTCTTCCATCTAATTTCAACTTTGACGTTCTTCCATCTAATTTCAGAACGTCAAAATTGGTGGTAGTAATTTACGTAGAAGTTAGTAGAAAAAGTTAACAAACTTTTAATAAAAGTTAACAAACTTTTCTACTAATTTTACTTCACAATTTGCGGGTATAGCCATTATGGCCATTGATTATCGTCTGTCAAAAGAAATTATGGTTGGAAATCAAAAGTTTATAGTTTTTAGACTACCGCAAGCTATTGCTAGTATATTTAATTAATTCTTCATGTATTTTTTAGACATTATGAATGATTGTAGTCTCATAAGTATAAAGTATAATTGAAACCTCTAATTTATTCCACTAATTTCGATATTCTAAATGGGGCTTAACCCTTTATAAGTTGATTGTCGCTAAATCGACCACTTTCATCTCTTTATAGGTTGATGGTCGCTAAATCGACCACTTTAATTTAACCATATAATCAGTCGCGTGGAAGTATATTATCGTCCAATTTGTGTGTTACGCTTATTTCTCTGCGCGTCTTGGCCATTTAATCAACCATATCTATACGTTGACCAAATTTGCGCGAAAAATTAACGCAAGCGGTTGAATATTCGACCAGTGAGCATTGGTGACACTGAGTTCGCTGTGTATCATAAATATAGGTAATAATTGCCGTCTAAGCATTTTCTATACAAATTTCTTGCGATAAAAATTTAAAAATATAGAACCAAATGTATCTGTGACGTTTATTTCTGTTTATTTATTGCACCAATTTTACATAACTTATATATTTCTGATCATTTCTCATAGGATGCGAGTTTCTCGAATAACAAAATTTGATTTACTTGATATGGGCATATTTTTGAGTAGAGAGCTAACAGAGATAATCAAAATGAACTTACTTTTTTTATTAAATTGGATGATACATATAGTTTATACATTATACAGGGTGGTTCGAACTGTATTTCGGAAACTTTGGCAACATATTCTGCAGATAAAAATAAGTAAAAAAGTTCGTATAAATGTATGTACTAAAATGCTTATTTTCGGAGATATAGGGTGTAGAAATTTCATTTTGATGTTGATTTTTTCCAAATAATTTCTGAAATAACGTCAATATTTGGATGAAAATTGGTGTCTGGGAGTTTTTTGACATGGCAAATTTGATTTTGATGTCAATATGCCTCCTAGTTGTAGAGGGCGCCACTTACATATTTTTTAACTGGTTTAAAAGAGAGTAATAACTTTTCGTCCGTACCTGTAACTAACAAGTAAAAAATATACATTTACAACGTTTTTTACGTAAAAATGATCTCTTGGTAAAAATCCTACGAGTAATGGTTCTCAAGATATTTGGAATCCAAATTATCAATACCTGTCATCATTGAATAAAAATAGTTTTTAATCTAAATAGTTTTTAAACTGAAATCATAAATTTGAAATGTTTTTGTGCCTAAAGTTCAACAGAAACTATTTTATCATCATTTTTTCGAAGAAAAATTTATGATTAATTTATAAAAATAAAAAGTCCCCAAATTCCTTATTTCAGTCAAATAACTATCTACTCAACATGTTTATTTTTAGTCAATAATGACACGTATTCACTATCTCCATTCTAAATATCTTGAGAACGGTTGCTCGTAGCGATTTTTACCAAGAGACATTTTTTACGTATAAAATTACGGAAATGTATATTTTTTCACTCAGTAGTTTTATATAAGTACGGATGAAAAGTTATTACTGTTCAAAACAGTTAAAATACATGTAGCTGGCGCCATCTACAAATAGGAGTCATTTTGACATCAAAATCAAATTTTTCATGTCAAAAAACGTCCAGACACCAATTTTCATCCAAATATTGATGTTACTTCAGATATTATTTGGAAAATATCGAAATAAAAATGAGACTTCTGCACCCTGTATCTCCGAAACTGAGCATTTTAGGACATATATTTATATGAACTTTTTTTCTTACTTTTATCAGTAGAATTTGCTGCCGGAGTTTCCGGAATACAGTTTGGACCACCCTGTATACATTAGATCATTACATATTATCTACTTGCTTTAAGAGTCTCTGGTTGAAAAATCGACCGCCATCACCCCACTCACTTTTGTTACCTTTTTGAAAAATCTTATTAAGAAGATAATATGCTCCCTTTGTGCTAGTTTATATATTTTTGAAGCCAACTTGATCAAACTAGAAAATCATTACTACTGCCCTCTAAAAGATTAAGTGTAAATAAACTGTATTACTTTTGTTATAGTAATATATTTAACTGTCATGCTCCTTCATTTTTTTAATTTTATGCTAATAATTTTACCAGCATTTGAAGCATCTAAAAAAGATCAATTCGTCTTTAGAAAAAACAAATAACATTAAAATAATGTAATAAAAAAGTTTGGTCTTCAAAAAATTGACAAAGGCTGATGTTTACACTTGGTTTAAAAAGGAGATATATACAGGGTGTTTCAAAACAAATGCGAAAAACTTCAGGGGGTGATTCCTTGTTTGAAATAAAGGGTAGTTTGCTACATAAACGTTGGGTCAAAAGTCAACCATTAGGGAGATATCGCGGTACAAAGATGGCGGAAAAATAATGTTTTTATTTTTTATCTTGAAAACGAAAAGAGATAGACTAAATTTTTATGGAAGCATTACTGTTATGAAAACACACTTTTTGGTAATTTTTTCACTTTTTAAAATGAGTGGAAGGGGTTGAAACTACTTGTTTCAGCTAACGAGCGAAAGAGGCTCCATCAAACACATGCAAAAATTATTTGATGGTTTGTTTAGTTTAGAAACTTTTTTATCTCTTGTATTTTTTTTGATAGTCTGCCGATTTGAAATCAAATGCGAACTGCAGGATGTATCTTGTGCGGTAAATAAAGTTTATATTTTATCTGAAAACGAAAGAAAGACCATAGTTCATTATGGTAAAGAACGACAAAGAATTTGGTAATTTTTTCACTTTTTAGTGAGGAGGTTGAATCTAATCTACCTTGTTACTTGAAATTTAAAGAATCTTATCAAACACATGCAAAAAATTAATTTGATGGTTTAGGTTGTTTGTAGAAATTATCTCTGTATTTTTGATAAAACTCGCCGATTTGAAATTAAAAAATAAAATGTAAAGCATTACATGTCAGGACAAAGAACATTTTATTTTTTAATTTCAAATCGGTGAGTTTTATCAAAAGAACACAAGAGATAAAAAAGTTTCTAAACAAACTAATCTATCCAAATTAAAGCATTTGCATGTGTTTGATAACATTTTTCTTTAAATTTCGTTAACGAGAATGATAGGGATAGTTTATTTCAACCCCTTCCACTCATTTTAAAAATGTGAAAAAATTACCAAAAAGTGTGTTTTCATAACAGTAATGCTTCCATAAAATTTCATTAGTCTATCTCTTTTCATCAATTTAAAATAATAAAAAAAACTTTCTTCATCCATCTAAAAGCATTTGCATGGTTTGATATTTCCAAAAAGTTGTTTTCGAGAATTCCAACTGTTTATGCAGTCAATCTCTTTTTTTTTCAGATAAAAAATAAAAACATTATTTTTCCGCCATCTTTGTACCGCGATATCTATATATATATAATGTTATTTTTTATTTAAATGAATGTTTCTGGAATTCTGTTTACCTGGTGACTCGATGGTTGGTGATGGTAGTACTCGCAAACGAGGATCGGGAGAAACTTTTACTGGGCCAGCTGTCAACACAGCAATTCCACGTTTCCAAGCTAGTACATAGCTCCCTGTAAAGATTAAATAATATGTAGAATATTATTATTCACCTCAGAGCAATACAGCAAAGTATTCCTCTAATTTTAATTAAACTGAATTATAATAAAGTAAAGAGTATCTGAATACGTGATTCTCGTAGGTGTTTAAAATGCTTTAGTGACTGCATATGTTACATAGTTTACGAAAATTTTTATTTAAACACGAGAACTATAAAAAGTTTTACCACGTAAAGTACACGATATTTTATTTTATTTTCATACATAAAAGATGACCATAACCAGCGCGTCATAAAGTTATATTCTCAGTGTTTAATAGTAATGCATGAAGATAATAAAACAAGAATTTAAATCCACATTTACATTTAAATATAACACTGGGAGTAATATTTCTAACAATAAATAATATGCGACACCAAAATATCGACATCTAACTTGTTTACTAAAGTTTGAAACATTTTTTAGAATGGTTTAATAAAATATAGCATCTAAAAACCACTTTATCGTTAAAGTGCATATTTTCCCGATAGTTTCTTTTTTGACCAATGTTAATACCCAAGTAGCATCTATCTGACTTCGAACTAAATCTGACCTGAAGCGACGTCAGACTTTGTGCAAATTTAGGTCGGGTGCTGGTGATACGACCGGTGACGTCGCTTTCCTATTAAAAGCGACGTCGTTGGATCCGAGTCGGTAAATCCAACGATCTGTCGACGTACAAAATAACAACGTACCATTTTTATTAATTTCCCAACGTCGTTTCCACGTTGGCTTGCACGACGTACATATACTTGAACTAGCCCGACGTCTACCCTTTGTCCGAATAGGATACGTTTCACTGATAATCCCTAAAGTAACGTCCAATTATATTTTGTTGTATTTTATGTTCCTATTTATAACCTAATTTACGTATCTCTATTTACGTCCGTAAATACAATTAAGTAGCATTTGCGGCCTAATGAACATCATGAACATAACCTAATAAAAAGTTTTTGTAAACAAACTTAATTTTTTTATTATGCCTAAAAAAGCACTAAAAATGCATTTATACATTCATCTACATTTTACAGAAAGAGGTCGAGGCTTTTGCAAAATAATAATAGTAGTAGTGATGTCTTCCCTCCACCCACGAATGCTTTTTATCCGGAAGAGATGCTGCATTACACTGGTGCATCTTAATTTTATTTTTAGCTTAGGAAACCAGCAGACCCCATCCTCCTCCCACATGTGAGGTACTGGTTCCAATTCTTTTAAATTTTGGATATATACTATCTTAAAAAAGTGGCTACCCATTTTTTGAAGGAGAAAACAAAAACTAAAATATAGTTGCACAGATCCACAAATCACTGATACGCAAAGTGAGGTTACGTGGCGTACGTTGGAATTATATACGTCATAATTCATAATACGATTGCCGGTCGTCCGGTTTGATGACTTCGGTCGTGTGAGACGACTAATGTTGGAGACCCGGTCGGAATTGGTATATTGGTAGTTCATATTAAGTCGGACACAGAAATCCGCCATTCTTAACAAGTATCCGATTGTCAGCCATTTTAAAATTGTTTTTTGTTTTTAAAATTTATATTCACATTCCGATTTCTAGTAAAATAATATTGATAAGGTTGAGTTTGGGGGGAACCACAGTACAGTTTTATGATTAAACCAGCTAGAAAATAAAAAAAAATATTTTGCGAGTTACTTTTTTATAGATATTTTTATTTCATAAATCTACCTAATTTTGAAGGCGCTCGTTGTTTTCCGGAGTATTTTAATCAGATATATCAAAAACGTGACTTCCGTTGACAAAACTGATGTCTGGATTAATGATTCAGAATTATTATAATATGAAATTAGGTAGGCACTTATAGTTATATTCGAGGAGTGATTATGAATCCATTTGTAATTAGGTAGTTTGGTTAGGTTTTTATGTATTCTTAGTAGCGAATATGAAACCAAACGTAACGTAAGTGCTTAGCGACGAATTTTAAGTGACTAAAATCCAACGTAATATGACGTTGGTAATTGGTAGAATTACATTCCCTATTAGGTCAGATACCGACGTCGAGGCGACCCGAATCTGTATTCCCCATTTAGGTGCAAATAAGGGTCGTCAGGCGGTCGAACCGACGTTGGTACCTGACGTCGGGTTTATTGGACGCGACGTATACCCGACGTTAGATAACGTCCAAATGCTACTTGGGTAGTTTTTTGATAATCATGTACACTTTTGACGAAAATATTAACGATTTACAGCAATTTTAGTTTTAAAAGATTGTCTTTCTTATTTATTCTAACCAACACACTTATATGAAATTGTGTTTGTTTTGGTAATGTCACTGCCATTGAGAAGTATTATCCCATCAAAAACATAGAATGTAAAAAAATTCCAAGTCTTGCAACACGAGACAGCCTCAAACTCGAGCCTCCCGGTGTAATAGCGGAATACTTTCGCTCCGCTACGGAATACTTGCTCGATATATGTTCAAGCCTAGCATTTAACATACTAAACTAAAAAAAAAAATAGGGACTTCATTACAAGTTAAAGTCTGACTAGAAAAAAATCATAATTCTTTAATTATTGTTGGTACATTGATATACAGACCGGGCCACCGTAGTAGTAACATAGGCAGAACCGGACGAATTAGCGTATACCCGTCCGCCGGATAAAAAGCAGGCAAAAAAATGCGATAAAATAAAACTAGGTAGATATGTAATAAGAATGTTTCACAATTGGTATTTATTCGTGTTTTAATAGTGTAATAGAATAATATCAAGCTCTGTAAAATTTTATCTTTTTGGTTTGTTATTCTAAGATGGGACCATTTCAGTTTACGAAGTTATCAGTCGACATAGGCAAACGAATTTTAAAAGGCCTAAGCAAATAATCTAATGATATTCAAGACACATAAACTCTCTAAAAGTACGCATATATCCTGAGAAACTAACTAAGCAAATAATACAATCTTCTAAATAATTTAAGGTCACATAAACGAGGGTAAAGTAGAACAAACATTCATCCCTTATTATCAAAACTCTATTTGACAGAGCGGTACCAGTTGTGTACCCTAGGGATATCTCAAAATAAACAACGCAGAAAAAGCACGTAGGCATGCTTAAGGAAATAAGTAAAATTAAATCATCCCCTCGCTAGAGGTTTTACATTGAAAATTAAAAGTATTAAATATATGTTTTAAAATCAGAATCCAAATGTTCCCGAGATGAATGTCTGAAAATTATAGAAATAGGATTATCTTTTTTCCGTTCCTAGAGTTAAATAGAAATAGACAAACATATGAAGAAATGAAGAGTTCATTTCTAGGCGGTTTTTTTTCTAAGGTAATCCTATGGCACGATATCATTTGTATTAGTTAAGGCTTAGATTATGAATATTATTCAGCAAATTGGTAAAAGAGTAAGATTTACACGGAAGGGTTTAAAAATTACATTTAATTAATAAATAGGACATGCTGATGCCCTCTCGGGATAAGAACCAGAAACAGGGGTGAAAGAAGTCTAGGGATCTTTCGGGGAAGGAACCCTTCGGCCAATTAAAAAGGTGCAAAATATGCATTTGGATGGGTATTCGAAGGTTCCTCAAACAGGGGCGTGCCGAAGATGTAGTAACGCCTTTCCGAGATAATACCAGCATCAGTATTTTCATCTTCAAAATTAGTTCGGTACTGACTTTTAAATTAGACGGTCGAATTTACTCCGTGTAGATCTTATTATATCTTAGATATATATTATCCAGTGGTCTTTTTAATTGTTTTAGTAAGTTCTCTATCTAAAGATTTTCTCAAATAAATTCTCAAGTTCGGAAATTCTAAACTATTCATGCTTAAAGTATTTTAATTGTTGTTTTTGGATTTTCTCTAATATTTTTCTTTATTAATGATTTAAGACTTTCTGTTTGTTCTAAGGGCTGTAGTAAAATTTAGATGTCATTCATAAGTGATTATTTTGCAATTGTTCTTTTATTAAATTCTAATTTAAATTTCAGTGAATATTTTTTTAACATATTAATTTTCTGCCAACGATAATTCTAAGAGAGATTTGAAAGTATATGCGAATTGTAGATAATTTAAATTAGACTAATAAGAAGAATATTTTGTATTTTTTTTAACTTTATCATCTCTGACTTTTAATTTCAATTCCCTAATTGTCATTAATTATTTTTGATTCAATTTCTTTCTTTTTCATTAATTATAAATGTTTTGTTGTTAAATCTTTTTCTTTATTTTTTATTTATTTATTTCTTTATATTAAATATAGTTAGGTGTTGTGAAAAATCGGCATTTTATTTCTTTATTTCACCTATTCACTAAAATATTAAGTTATTTAAAAGAACAATGTGATAACCAGTCGAGTGGTTCAATCTTAAGAATGAGTCCAAGATCGAAGGGGTAGATCTACAAGGGGATCAACGAAGTCTTCGACAGGTTCTTGTTGTTGATGTATTGCTGATGGATGTTGACGTAATAAGGTAAGTGGCAATAGAGTTTATAGTAACTGAATTTAGAAAGAGCCCTTACCAGAAAAGTGCGATACCTTTTAATTTCTATTTTTAGCTGGTTATATTCTGTTTTTATATGTAAACGATAAACTATAGTTACGCCCTGAAAAGACGGTGCTCTCATTAATCCAAGTTCTGCCTACCGCTCAATAAATTATTTTAATTATAAAAATTATATAAAGGCCACACTACCATGATAACGGACAAAATCTTGAAAGTTTTGTCACAATAGCCAAAACGAATACATAGATTCTCGCGACAGTTCTCGTGTAAAATTTATTTTTTAAGTAAAATAATGGATGTTTACGAAGTTCGTGGGAAAATTCAAATTGTAAAATGGTATTTCCAAAATAGGTCTTATCGGGATATACAAACAATTTTTCCACAAACTTTTGTAAACAGGCCAATTCCATCTTTACCTACTTTATCAAGAGTTATTAATAATTTTAAAACACATGGGTGCGTGTTCCCACAAAAACACAAAAAGCCTGATGTGTTGATTAATGAAGAACAGGAGTTAAAGCAAGTGCTCATTTGTGCTACCGCGGATCAAAATCCCACGTTTTCAAGTAATCAAATTGCTGAGGTGGTTGTCCTGCCCACAATGCCCGTATTGTTCAAGAATATTTGAACAATACTTCTCCCAACCGTTTAATTAGTGGACATGGAACTATTTTGTGGCCCGCTAGATCACCAGTAATATTTTAGTTTTTTTTGGGTTTAGAGAACTTATTTATTTTTAGTTTTGGCTTGTAAACACACTCAAATAATAAATATTTAAGTATTTTCATTTTAAATGTTACCTTAAGTGAAGGTAAACACTTAAAATGGAAATAATAAATACTCGCCACTCCTCGCGTCGTATTCCTAGTCTGTCACGACCGACCCGTCCAAGCTCAACGGCAACTGCGTACTGCCTGACCAGCCGACTAGCCGGCAGTGAATCTCGAGTACGAACGCAAAACGGGTAAACGTAAATTCGTCCGGCAACTTGCTATGTTACTAGTAGCCTGGTCTTCTCTGTATAAATTAAATCTCAAGGAGGCCACTCCGATTAATTCTAGTTTTTTACCTTCTTCTCTCGACTGGAAAGCCAGTTACCGGTAGCGGCTAGACAGTTAACTTTTAATCCATAAGTATATTTCGAGATTTTTCATTTTTTCTTTGTCACCTAAAATTCTAAATTTGAAGCTAATAGCAATAGTTGTATGTTAGCAACAATAGCTAATACAACTTCTGAACCTAAAACTATCTTTGCTAGAACAACTTTCAACGAGCATTAATAATATAACTTTTCAATGATAGTGGCATTATAAAAACAATAATAGTATATTGTTTGGTTTGGTTTGGAGTAGAAATGACACTTTTTGCGGCAAGGCTGTACGTTTGATAGACATACAGCTGAGGTACAAAAAGTCATTTTTACTCCGAATAGAAAATGTTATTTTTTTTCAAACGCCACAAATAAGTTTTTAAACAATTTCAAACGTTCCAAGTTATATAATAAGATTTAAAAGTCATAACTTGTATGTAAGTATATATCGAGAAACTATGGTTACGCTCGTTGAATTTGACACTTTATGTCAGTTTAATAATATATTTTCGTACTTTTATGCCTAGGCGTTAAATTACTTTTTTATATTGTCAATCACGTCGCAAAAAATTAATACTTTTCTAATGTTTGAAAAAAAAAATCCCTGTGTTGAACCTTTTTTAAAAACATCTTTCTAATCCGAAGAAAACTGAAAATAAACCATAGTAATATACAGGGTGAGTCTTAAATAAGTGCAAATATTTTCAGGGCTGGTAGATCTCGATAAAACAAATATATTTTCTCTTTACAGTTTCTCAAATTCCAATTCCAAAAAAGTCCAAAATAACCGAGTTATTTTACTTTGAAAATTTCCAAAAATATGTTTTATGATTAAGTTTTGAGAATTACTAGATTTTTTCTATGTTTTTTTTTCTGTTAATTTAATCTACTATCTATGTTACGATATTATAAATAAATTATGTTTTTAACTAAAAACTAAAAAAAAATTCAAACATTTTTTCAAAAACTTTCAAATTTTCAATTTTTTTTTTCGCAAAAAAACCTCATAATCGTGTTTCTGGAGTCGAAATATACTACCCCTAAAAATATTTGCACTTATTTGAGACTCACCCTGTATATGAGTAAAACTAGGTAGTAGAAATTTGTCAGTCTTAAAAAGGCTACTTCCTTAGCGAAACATGTTGTAAATTTGTTAATTAAACTGTTTCTCAATATAATGGGATTTAATAACAATTTGTTATATTTTTCGTTTGATTATGGAGTTCTACCAAGTAACGGCAGAGTCAAAATTCAATTCTAAAGTAATATCCCCCCAACAAAAACCAATAAATATATAACAAAGATAACTTAAATAACACATGCTTTCACAAAATACACTTTAAAAACTTACCAGGTTGCGTGATGCGACATGGCAGAATGACCGTCGCTCCCGAGGCTATCCTGTAGGTCTGTCCCGGGGTCACAAACGAGGGAGGCTTTCCCTGGGGAACGTCGTACTCGTTAATCTGGGGATGAGCCCGCAATTCTGCAAATCAAACAAGATCGAACGTGAGTAACAAGATTTGCTTTGCGGAGGCTAGCTCGGTTTTTTCGTGTCTTTGGTGTCAATTGTAATTTCGTTTTTATTGTTTTGATTTTATTGGAGTGAAATGATATTAAATAAAGTGAACTGTTTTTTTATTATTTGTTTTTTTACCGGAGAATAAATATTTAGGTAGCTAGTTAGGAAACAGACTATTTTGTGTTATAATTCGTCGCTCTACAAGCAACACACTTTTGACTTCATTGACAACATTTGACTAGATTCCTTCCAGAATATATTCTGGAGCTATGTTCTGGAAAAATCTATCAAGTCTTCTACGAATTATAAGTTTCATTTTTATATTGTTTTCATATTCACGAAGTCCATAATAACAGCGTTATATTTGCTCTGTAAAAGAGTATGAAAATGTTATTAATTTTTTGGAAAGTGTTTTGCTTGTAGGCCGATGAATTGGAGATTTGTAGTGAATATGAGTTACACAAAATATACATTGCCCATCGTGTTGCATAAAAGATAATTTCTAATTTTGACCAACGACAGCATTAAAAATTTACTATTAACTTTACCTTTAATCTTTGACACAATATCACAACTTACAAACCAAAACAACACCTATGCGTCTTGAACGGGATTCTCAAAGTTAGTATCTAATTTCTATCATCTCTATTTGTTGCCCAAATTCCCTCTCTCTAGGTTCCGTATAAATGTTTTAAAATCAGTAATGATTTATGTATACAGAGTGGCTTAAAACTGAGTGATTTGGATTTGACAAAAATATGTGTATTTTTAATTAGGCGGGTCATTGAAGTACTTAATACGAAGGACGCTATTTTAACTGTTATAAGATGATTCAATCTTTTTAGAATTACGTTATGCTTGTTGGGATCACATATGTATTACAAATTCTACAAGGATAATTGGTTTATTTAGATTGTTTACTAATTTATTTATTTATTTAGCGTATGGCTTTAGTACACATAAAATTACACGTTGTTATCACAGCTGTAAGTATGAAATAAAAATAAAAATTGTAAATAATTTTTTTACTAAAATATAGGAGACAAAACATCTTTAACAAATTTGATTATAGAACAATAAAAATCTAAAGATAACATAAAAAAGTTTCGATTTTTTTTAATATAATAATTATTGTATTGAGTAGTGGAATGCTTAAATTCTTTGTGGTGGGACCAGCATCTCTCTCTTAGAACCAAAAAACGGCTGGAACAGGTCTTGGTTGATTTGTGGTATGCTATGGTTGCGAAGTATCAGATCTAACAGCCGAAATGAAACGGAGACTTACAGCAGTCGAAATACATTATCTCAGAAGGAGCGCAGGCGTATCGAAAATAGACTGAATTACCAACATAGAGATCAGACACCGAATGAATGCTCCAGAGACAATTATCAACAGAGTCGAAATCAGAGGTCTCAAGTGGTTTGGCCATCTATTAAGAATGCCAAAAGATCGATGGCCGAAACGTCTCTTTTATTTTATTTTTATTTATTTTAGTCCCTCTTATTTATTTTTATTACTCTTTTATTAAAGTTCAGAACAGCATAGTTTCTTTGAAATAGTGAACATGGTTTTCTCTGCCGCGCTCTTTTCCCTTGTGAATTCCAGGTATAGTACGGCAGTTTCTCCGTTTCATTTGATAAAATAATTAGAGTTATACAGAAATTTAGCATTTGATTTACATAACCTATTATTCACCTCATGACAGTATTGCCGCCTTAGTGGTTTTACCACTAATAAAAAGCTTAAAAGTTAAAAAGTTTTGGTAAAAAAGTTTTGATAAAATTTTTGATATAAGTTACTTTGAAAGATTAGAATAGTCTATTATTTTATTTTGTATTGTTCTGTATTTCTATATATTTTATAAAACGCTTTGGTGCAACAGCTCGGTCCAAAAGCACTAAACCATTTTTTATGACCGCTGAAAAATATATAGACGTAAAAAAGCATTTTGCCGCTACTGTGCACTTGGCCAGACTAAATAATTTAAAAACCGCAGAGACATATGCTATGTGAAGTTAAATTAAACTGGACGTTTCAAAGAAAAATTGCTGTGGCTGCTGCTGATGATGAATTATCCGGGAACGTGCGGTTAGTTTCCAGTTTAAATTGAAAAAGTTTAAAATTTAAAATTAAGAAAGCATACTAAAATAAATACTTTATAAACCGAGTGACATTTGCAACCATTTTATTTTTAATTTGTTTTTGTAGTGGTTGTAGATTACAGTTGGGGATTGGAACCTTTGGTGTTAAATCACAATGAACCAAAACACTTTTACTTTTCTCTTCTGTCTTTTCTCTGTTGTCTTGATTATCTGCTGATGATGCTAACATAGTTAGCGAAACGCGCGTCCAGTGTAAAAGTAAAAGTGTTTTGGTGTATTGTGGTAATTTAGTGTTTTATTTTGCAGTGGCTGTAGTATAATAATATACCTAGGGTCGTTTAACAAAGTTGAAGAGGTAAAATTTGGCTTGGTGCATTTCAGTTTTTTTCATGAAAGTCCGACAGCAGTGCGGTATATGACAGAAATCAGAAAAAGCATTTTTTTACGAATAATTTGGTACCACACACTTGGTATTTCGAGTCAAATTGTCGTTATTTATGGCCATGACATTAATTTGAAATTTAAAATACTGCTTTCTTAATTGGAAATGGATTTTTTTAATTGGTTATGGATTTGATTTCAAATGGCATGTGATTGTGCATTTTTTTCGAGTTGTATTATATTGAACTTTTAACTAACTCTGAGCGTGGGGTAGGTAGATAAAGATCTTGCTCCGCGTTCTTGAGTGGATAAGTGTGAGATGGCCTTTCTTGAGAAGCTGATACGTGCTTACGTGTATTAGGCAAACGGATTGAAATATAAATAAGGAAGGAAGAGTTAATATTTTTAATTTTTTAAAAAAGTCCTGGCAATGAGTTCTGCTGTTTAGTCCCAGTGAATATCGAACAGCTCTCTTCTGGAGCTTGAAAATCGGCGGTCAAATTGAGTCGCACAAAACGTACCCCAGAATGGAAGAGCGTACTTGAGGTGCGACTCAAAAAGTGCATAATAAACAGTTCTAGCCACTGACAAGTTAACCTCCTTAGAAACAGATCTTAATGCAAAACAGGCAGAGCTCAATTTTTTCGACAAAGCTTCCATGTGCATGTCCCATTTCAGAGAATTGTCTACAACAAGCCCTAATAATTTTACAGATTTTACGACGTCAATGGTGGTGTTGTTAAGTACAAAAGTCTGCAGCGAGTTTTTATATGACAAAGCTTTAGTTTTAGAAATGTTGAGACTCAGGAGGTTGGAATCGCACCAAGATTTAATGGTGATTAAGTCATTTGATATAATCCTATGAAGTGCCGTGACGTCCTTGTGGCTCCAAGTGAAGCTAGTGTCGTCCGCAAAAAGACATATTTTACCACTGATGTTTATGTTAGCAATGTCGTTAATAAAAAGAAGAAACAAAATAGGGCCTAGTACTGAGCCTTGTGGAACTCCTCATTCTATTGGCTTGCTAGAAGACAACGGGGTATCCACCCTCACAAGTTGACTTCTGTTGCTCAGATACGACTTAAACCATTCAGGAGATGTTCCCCTGAACCCATAGTGCTGCAGTTTATTAATTAGGATCTTATAATTTACACAGTCGAACGCCTTAGAAAAATCACAGAAAATTGTTGCTGTGGAATGATGGTTATTTAGGCTGGAGTAAACTTTATTAAGGAGGGAAAACATAGCGTCATTTGTGGACTTTTACCCAATTAGTAATAATCAGAGAAGGAAAGGTGAAAAAAAATTACGTCAATTAAATTACAAGATGTTTTATCATAAATAATTTGTTTTTACATCGCAACCATCCTAAAGCCTTCGCTCCAATGTATTGTCTAATATTTCAGTATTAATTTGTAATGGATATATACTGTAATTTTAAAATTAATATGTTCATATTTTTGTTGAGAAATATTTTCCACAATTTTGGCAAAATAATCTTCAGTATATTAAAATATCATTAAATTTTTTACTAAATTCTAAAGATACTTAAAACCGCTGATCAATCAATCCGAAGAAAAGTTCTTTTTTATAAAATGGGATTTTGCTTGCCAAAGTACGTTTATTTTCGACTTTGTATATTATTCGTTCAAGAAATTTCCATCAAATTTGCATGTTTATTTTCAAGGGCTGGACCGATCAGCCCTTTATTCGTTCAACAGGATGAAAAAGGTCCCTAAGAAAACTACTATATTGATGGGTTTCCTTGAAAAGCTCTAAGAAGTCTTGGCAAAAAACTTGTCCTTCGTTACTGGTCAAATTCTAAAGATTTTGGTCGAAATGAAACGTATACAAAGTTGCTTTTTTTTGCTTTGGGAAGGGTTAGTATTATTCAGTAAAAAAGTTTGTTTGAAATAATATTATATTTTTTAGAGTCTTTTAATTGTCTTTCTTTCAATTGTCTATTTTCTGGGTTGGTTTTTAAATAAAATTGTTTTTTACTTTTTTTCAAGTTTGTGTTAGTTTTATTTGATGTAGAATCTAGAATGTTTAGGAGGAGAGTTAATCACCGCGACCTTATAGATCTATTGTGTGTTCCCCTTTCTTGATCATCATACAGTCTCAGGGCTTTAACAAAAGCCAGTATCTGAGACGGCTCCACAGAGGCCAGCTCTCCATCCTTAACATCAGCCGTACCAAAGTTCATGGCACGAATGGTCGTCGTCTCGGCGTACTCAGTGATAAGGTGTTCTGGTGTTTCCCCATTTTCTCCACAGAATCTGCATTCGCCGTTGCTTCTCTGCTGGACAGAAATGATGACAAATATGATTGCGGCACCTTCCAGGACATGAAACATCTTCTTCAATGTCCTGCCGGCCCCCACAGATGTACTCTCGACGACCTATGGCTGGTTAAACGGGAAGCATTGGACGTAGCCCATTACTGGACTAACAAACAGATACGAAGAATAAAGTAAGTTTTACTTCTAGATGAGATTGTAACGAATTTTCATACAACAAAGTTGTTCAGCTTCTCTAAGCATTCCTTCGAATCGATAGTTATTGAGTAAATCTAAATGCTAATAAACTAATTTCTTTTAAAAGAATATAATACCTTTCCATAACCATTGTTTTATGATACGGTCTTTCTTAAAAAACTGATACATCTGAAAATACTAAGACTAATAAAAGAAGAAAATTAAATACACTCACCGGCATGAAAAATGGACAATTTTTTCGTATTTTTCGAAATTCCAGTTCCAAGGGGTGAACCATCCCTCAAATATTACAATATTTTTTATTTAAAAAAAGTTTCCGAAAAAAACGCTTAAGCACGTATATTTTATTTTATTTTTTTTTACATATTTTAAGATTTTTTAAAAATGTATACAGGGTGTTTCGAAAAATCTGGTCATTGATTAATCACAATCCTGCTTAAAGCGCTCGACGTAAAAAACTGATTTTTGGAAAACGGATTGGCTTTAGGGTGTAGAGGTTCGATAAGACGGGATTTTTCGAAACTCGAATTCTAAGGGGGTGAAACCACCCCTCAAATATTAGAATACTTTTTATTTAAAAACCGGTGAGTTTTTCGGAAAAACTCTTAAACAGGTATATTTTATTTTGTTGTTTTACATATTTCAAGATTTTTTAAAAATTTATACAGGGTGTTTCATAAAATATGACCATTGAGTAATCACGATTCTGCTTAAACTGCTTGAGGTTTAAAGCTGATTTTTGGTAAACGGATTGACTGTGAGGTGTAGAAGTTCGATAAGGAGGGATTTCTTGAATCTCAAATTCCAAGAGGGTGAAAACTCCCTTCAAATATTACAATATTTGTTATTTAAAAAACGGTTAATCTTTCGGGAAAACGCTTGGACACGCATAATTTGTTTTGTTTTTTTATATATTTTGAAATTTTTTAAAAAATCATACAGGGTGCTCCAAAAAGTTGGGTAATTGATTAACCACGATTCTGCTTAAACTGCTTGACGTTAAAAGTTAATTTTTGGCAAACGGATTTTTCGAAAGTCCAACGAGATAAAACTACCTCTCAAATATTACCAAGTTATATAATAATATCGCCATATTGTTTTTTTCTCATGCTGACATAAATGTGAGAAAATTTTATCCAGTTTGTATGTTAATGGAAATCCTTGCTTTGGTTTATCATCACCATTATAAATGATTAAATCGACGCGAACGAAATCGCGGGTACACGCTAGTACAGCTCTATTTTAAGATGCCCGTTTTTCGCTGCCGATGAGTGTAATTTTCTATCTTGACTATTAAATTTATTCCTACAAAGTACTGAACCTTAAACGTAAAAATAACGTATTTCTTCAAATCACGTTCATATTAATTTGTCCGATATGATTTACGCAGCTCCAGATAAAGCTTTTTCTTATCTGCCGGCCATCTGTCAGATATCGTATGTCATGGCGAACGGTAAATTTTAGACGGTAGGGACCGAGGCGATACATCAATATGAAACAGATCACTCGGAATCGATATATCACGTTGAGTTATTATGGCTTACAAAATTTAGCGTCATGCACGTTCTGATAAGATATGGCGCACCGAATTGTCCCTTGACATTTGTCTCTTCGAGAGAGTTTAAATTAATTCGGAATGTGATTAAAGGTTAAAATCGAATAACACATTTTATGACAAAGAAATTTTAAGCTTTTCGGTTTTAGCTCAATAGGAAATAGTCAATACATGTCATTATTGACAAAAAAATGAGCACACGGTGAGTATACTTATTTGAATGTAACAATATATTTTTATTTTTTTAAATTAATCATAATTTTTTTTCGAAAAAATGATGAAATGGTTTCTGTTGTACTTTTGGCACAAAAAAGTTTCAAATTTATGATTTCAGTCTAATAACTATTTAGTCAACATATTTAATTTATGTCAGTGATGACAGGTATTGATAATTTTGATTCCAAATATCTCGAGAACCATTACTCGTAGCGATTTTTACCAAGAGACCTTTTTTATGTAAAAAAGTCGTAAATGTATATTCTTTTACTCAGTAGTTTTATACAGATATGGACGAAAAATTATTACTCTTCAAACCAGTTATAAAATATGTAGGTGGAGCCCTCTACAAGTAGGAGTCACAATTTCATTCATATGAAAATCAAATTTCTCATGTCAAAAAACTTCCATATACAAACTAAAATATATGGGAAACTGAAATTGAGATCTTTGAAAGGACGTTTTTACCGCAACCAGTTATACACAAAATTATTAGTTCTGTGACGAACCACCGGTCGCGCTTAAGGCGAAAATATTTAGGCAGTTCAAATCAAATCAAGTCAGTTCTAATCAAATAATATGGTACCGTCAAAAATAGAAAAAAGTTTTACTGGAATTTTAGTGATTATTTAAACTTTTTATTAAAAACAATGATGGAATCAGACCGTAAACCCTTTCATAAGTATGTTGTTCCGATGCCGGATTTGTTTTCCAAAAGACATACATTCTCGAAGAACGATCCTACATTATTTCAAAAGTGATTTAGAAGAGGTTTAGAAGAAAACTTTAGAATTAAGTTTTTATATACACCAGTTCATATGGGTAAGTATATGCATTTAGTTAAATAAAGAACGTTTTCAGATATTTTGATCTAATAAAATTAAAATAATCTTTTAGATGATCAACCTACTGGTAATTTGGTGTCCAGTGATGTCGTTCCAGGTACAAACCCTGTATTTAAAGACAAACATTTGTTGTAGAACTTGTTGGTGGACCAGTCTGTTGTTGGTATTAGACATGTACTGTTACCTGAGATAAAAGCAGTAATTGAAAAGGGTAGGTACCTACACCGTAGGCCAAATTAATGTCTCAAAATATTCAGTAATGAAGATGAACATTATTTTAAAAAAAATATCATATCAACTTTATAACAAAAAATATTTTAATTCAGCTGTAAATAAACAAGTTATGGCACTGGCTACTTTAATTTGGCAGAGAGTGATTCAATTATTAGATATTCCAAAGTTTATTAAAAATGTTAATATGTATTACGAATCCAAACTGAATTTGGTTTATTAAAATTATCGTTTTAGATTTTTTAAATTGTATCTATCATTTTAGAGAAAGGATCAGATAACCCAAATGAGGAATCTTCCAGAGTGCAGATGATGAAGTTTTTGTGAGTGAGGTATAAGATCTGTCTCTTGTAAGACCTGTTTTAAGAATTTAACCCAGGCAGTTGTTTACAACCAAGTTAGGTAAGAATTAAAAAATATAATAAGTGGAGCATAATACTCAAAAATGTAAATTTGCTTTATTAGCAATTGTTTTTGAATCCTGCTTATAAAAGGCATATAAACTCAATAATTATTTCTTATGAAAAATAATGCTTGTGTTAACTTAAAGACTAAGATAAAAAGTTCATAGCCAACTTCTGTTGAGATTTTAGAGCCCTTCGCAACGGCATCAACTTTTAATTTTTTCCTCCTACTCCTATAAACCATACTCGAGGTTTTTTTGATGTGTCACATAATTATACATATTTATTTGTTTCAGATCTCAAGCATAGCAAAGGAATCGTACAATCTGTGAATTCAGTTTAATTACTGAGATCAAGGATGATGAAACATTCATTATGATTATACAGAGCTACAAAGAGTTATGTCGAGAATCCAAATTATCATAATGAATTGAGACGAGACAACATCTGGGTGAAAATTGAGGAAAAACGCAGATAAAAGGCATTTTTATATTAACGTTATCCAATGTTTTTATCAAATCGTCACATAGATAATATTTCTCTACGCATAATACTAAAATTAAAAAGGTCAGGTTAAAACAATTTTAATTATCCATCGCGTGTGAAAAACAGTGCTTCGCATGGCTTCGGCTTCGGCGCGCTTCGCTCAAGTGCTCAACATGCTTTAAATTTTTGCGAAGCGCCAAAATGTCATTGGATTAATTACATGTATTTTGATTCTTCGCGTTACTTCGCTTTAATCCGTGGGTCTGCATTTTTATACATAGATACCATTGATCCAATTCACATTTTTTCGCCGCGCTTCGAATAAGTTCGCGACAAAACTTTGGCAGTTGTATTTTATATTATTTAATGCTATTGTATTGATTTATAATTATTATTATATTATATGAACAAGTTAAGTATAGCAGTGCCGTGCGAGCCTTCGTCTGAAGAAGAAATTTTATTTATTGTATAATTTGTATTATTTACTTTTTTTAATAAAGTTATTACTAATAATAATTATTCAACATATCCAGTTAATTATTTTTATTTTATTAACTATAGCTGTTTTTTCTATCTATTTCATATTTTTTGATGAGGATAAGTTAATTCTAAATGAAACGTCACCTGTTTGAGAACAATACGATATAATGGAGCGATGTCGCATTTAGAATAACTTATTCTTATTAAAAAATAGGAAATAGAAGAAAAATCATTATTTTCTGTACAAAAAAAAAATTACGTTCCAAAAATTGATAATAGATGGCGCTAGAGTATGACGCAACAATATAGTTACCTGTAGTTAAAATGTAAAAGTTTCCTGTAAAATAAAATAAAACTGTATCATAAGTTGTGTAACGACCCGATGCATGGCGCCACTGAATTCTCCAACAGACGGTATCATTTCAGTTTCCTATATATTTTAGTTTGTATATGAAAACTTCTAGACACCAATTTTAATCCAAATATTGACGTTACTTCATAAATTATTTTAATAATTTATGAAGTAACGGTAATTTGTAGCAATTATGTCGTCCTCAGACAGAGCAGACCTTCATTTTAATACAACTTTTATGACAGTGAATCAAATTATTTATTAATGTTTAATTTATTACTTTTCAACATTCAAACTACACTTTTTCAAACATTTTCTTCAAATCCTTCAATTTAATAGCCGTTAGTAAGAAGTTTCACTACAAATATGCGCACATAGTGCACACTAGGGTGTTTCAAAATAAAAATAAAATCTTTATTTTTTATTATGTATGAAAAGTTGAAAGTACAGGGTGTCCCATTTTGGTTGAAATCATACGGTATCTCCGTTATTCGTGAAGATAGAAAGGTGCAGTTTGCACATACCTGTGCCACTTTTTTGTTAAACGGAAGATGCTGTCAACAAAATTTTCATAGCTCTCTTCGTTTCTAAGCTACAGGGTCTTTTCGAAAATTTTGCAAATTGGGACAGCACCCGTATCTCCGTTATTATAGATGATATCGAGAAGGTGAAAACTGATTCTTGTAGAACTTTTTACGTAGAATACAGTGGCGTAGTCTGTTTTTCTATGAAAAAATATTTTTGAAAATATGAACTAAAGTTATGTTTTTTCAAATGGAACACCTTGTATATTTATAAATCATATGATCCGCCTTGCTATTGGCTTCTCAAATTATATATACCACTCTATATTTATTTTCACTATTTACTGCAATATTTAAAATATATCATTTTCTTACTAGTAGGCCGTGATAAATAACAAAATCAAAATGGTATTTACCAAAATAGACATACACATATTAAAATTTTATTTGGGACTGATATATTCTACTTTTGAACTGTTACCACTGAACATTTGAATATATTTTTCTTTTTTTTTATAACGGAATTTATTATAATGAGAAGGGTTTGCAAATATCTAAAAGCTTGCATTATTAAAGCATTTTCCAGGTGTTCGACATCGTATGTTATTGTATGAGTTGCCACGATATATTTCATATTTCAAAAATCCCCAAAATCAGAAATCGAGAACGGACAAATCCGGGAATCAAGGAGGCCATCATATGGGTACATTGGTTCCAATTCATTGATTTGAGAAATATTAAATAATTTAACAAAATTCTAATATTTTCGTTGTAAGTTAAGTTGTGAGGGGGAGCCCATCTTGGCTGAAAGCATATTTGACTTAAATTAGCTAAAGGAATATTTAAAAGTTCCGATACGCTAGCTTCCAAGAATTAGAAATAGCGGTAGAGATTTAAGTTTCCCTAATATACAAAGAATTAATTAGTGGCTCTCAAAATAAAACAAGAGACAGATAGCAGTATTACTTTTAATAATTCTTTAGTTTCTTTTATTATCAATCATGGCCTACTAATAAATATGATCTTTTAATATATTTTTTTAAATATTGCATTAAATAATGAAAATAAATATAGAGTGTTATATATTTTTGAGAAGCTTATGGCAAGCCAGATCATATAATTTATTAATATACAGGGTGTTCCATTTAAGAAAACATAACTTTAGTTTATATATTTAAAAATATTTTTTTGGTAGAATAACAGACTACGCCACTGTATTCTACGTAAAAAGTTCTACAATAAACAGTTTTCACGGTTTCAATACCTTTAACAATAACAGAGATACAAGGGGTGTCCCAAATTGCAAAATTTTCAAAAAGACCCTGTAGCTCAGAAACAAAGAGAGCTACGAAAATTTTGTTTACATCTTCCGTTTGACAAAAAAGTGGCACAGGTTTGTGCAAATCGCACCCTTCTATCTTCACGAATAACGGAGATACCGTATGATTTGAACCAAAATGGGACACCCTGTACATTTAAAAACAAAAATTTTGGCGCCTAGTAGGAACCTTAATATTAATATTAAGGTTTAACTCAATTTATTTGTTGTTTTTCCAATTAAATAACACGAAAATTTTTATTTTTTATTTTTGAATTTTAATAATTTTTTTAACGACGGTTTGTTTCCGCAACATCCTCGCGAGAAGATTTATAGGAAATTTCACGCTCTACAAAAAACGTCTGAAGGTCAAAGTTCCTCAGGTTAACCGTCTCAAAGGTCAGCTATCAAAAATAACACCAATCGAAAACTTCAAATATTTTCCAATAAACATTTTTTTAACCAAATTATAATTTAGATTAATATATGTTTTGGTGTCTGAAGTAGCGACAATAAAGTCGCGAAACGTCGCAAAAACATTGTTTTCTTTCGAGCCTTCCCAAACACCCAGGACTTTTTTTTCTGCGTGCAAACCTTAATATTAATATTAAGGGATCTATTAGGCGCCAAAATTTTTGATTTTAAATGTCCTTTCGACTTTTCAACGCCATAATAAAGAAATATTTTTTTTTTATTTTGAAACAGTCCACACAAAATTTTTTAGACTTTTTTCCACTGGCAAAATACCCAAGATTTTTTCAAGAAACAACAAACATGCATTAGAGTATTAAAGCAATTTCTCTTACCATTATTCTTTTATGGCACCGCTTGCAGTGATTTATCGCGGATATAAATATCCGTATAAACTCGGTCGGGTCAAATTTAAAACGACCGCATTCTCTAAAACAAACACACTCGGGGCTCTATTGCGTATTTGCGTGCGAAAATCTAGTTTGTCCTCGTATTTTGTCACAGTTTTCTGAATTGTTAACGCCATTCCCCAGTGGCGGAACAGAGCTTCCGTATGTTCCAGTTATTTTACGAGGCGGAGGGTCGGAAATAATGTACGCAGTGGGGCTGTTATTTTGCACTGTTTTTCTTTGCAGCTTTGTACGTTTTATGCTGTGTAAATTTTTATCGTTTAATATTAAAGCGATTTTGGAAAGATCTTGTTACACGCTTCATATTTATACAGGCGGCAGTGAAAAGCAAAAACAAACTAAAACTATACTGAAAGAAGCGATAGCCTCTAAAAGAAAAATAAAAGAGGCTTTTTTAATACAATTAGTTGTTAGATGTTAGTAATGTATAGCAATCGCTTCTTTGATTTTAAAGAACATAACATAAATAAACATAACATACGTAAAATTTAAAAATAATCATAGAGAAAGTTTGGAGCTTTTTGGTTTTATCTTATTAAGTAATTGTTATCAGGTAGTAAGTGTTAATTTTGAAGTTTAACTTGATATAATGTCATTTTAACAGAACGTCAACGGTTTTTATAGACGCATCTGTTTTAGAAAACTAAAGTGTTCTCGAATAGATGAATTTAAATATTTAAATAGTTTTTTTTCTTTATTCTTTGTATTTTTTTTGCTTCCGACGACGGAAAGAGATAAACTTTCCGAAACGTTAAGCATTTTTTTCCTTGTTAGGCAAATTTGTATAACCGTAAACCTAACTTCTGACAAGTAAACTGACAGAAAACTTTCCTGGACTGGGTCCTTTCGAACTCGATGGCATGAGTCCATCAGCAGTTTACCATTAGCTGAAGAAGTACGTTTCTTGGATTGGAGGATATAAATTCATTATTAAATAACATTATTATAATCAAAAGAATATATTAAAACCAAATTATAACCAGAAAACTTTCCTGGACTGGGTCCTTTCGAACTCGATGGCATGTGTCCATCAGCAGTTTACCATTAGCTGAAGAGGTACGTTTCTTGGATTGGAGGGTATAAATTCATTATTAAATAATATTATTATCATCAAAAGGATATATTAAAACCGAGTTATAACCAGAAAACTTTCCTGGACTGGGTCCTTTTGAACTCGATATCATGTGTCCATCAGCAGTTTACCATTAACTGAAGAAGTACGTTTTTTGGATTGGAGGGTATTCATTCATTATTAAATAACATTATTATCATCAAAAGAATATACTAAAATCGAATTATGACCAGAAAACATTCCTGGACTGGGTACTTTCGAACTCGATGGCATGTGTCCATCAGCAGTTTACCATTAGCTGAAGAAGTACGTTTCTTGGATTGGAGGATTTAAATTCATTATTAAATAACATTATTATCATCAAAAGAATATATTAAAACCGAATTATAATCAGAAAACTTTCCTGGACTGGGTCCTTTCGAACTCGATGGCATGTGTCCATCAGCAGTTTACCATTAACTGAAGAAGTACGTTTTTAGGATTGGAGGGTATTCATTCATTATTAAATAACATTATTATCATCAAAACCGCATATTAAAATCGAATTATGACCAGAAAACTTTCCTGAACTGGGTACTTTCGAACTCGATGGCATGTGTCCATCAGCAATTTACCATTAGCTGAAGAAGTACGTTTCTTGGATTGGAGGGTATAAATTCATTATTAAATAATATTATTATCATCAAAAGGATATATTAAAACCGAGTTAT